TGCCTTCTGAGTGCTAAGATTAAAGGCTTGCACCGTTCCCTGCTAACACTTTTTCAGGTTGCTTTTGTCAGAGTATTTTACAACAACAACAACAACAACACACACACACACACACACACACACACACACACAGATATTTAGAGAAAGCAATTTCCAGGTAGATGAAGTATGAAGCTTTCCCAGGCTTAAAGAATTGTAAACAGTTTGATGTAACCTCTCCCAGGAAACAAAGAAAGACCATTCTCCAACTCAGTCTGAGACCAGCATCACCTTGACACCTAAACCAAAAACATGACAGAAGGAAGAAAGAGGTGGAGAGGAGAGAGAAAATTAAACAGTATGTTTCATGAACATAGATTTTAACATCCTTGGAAGTATTAATAAACTGGATCCAACAATATGTAAAAAGTATCTTAAATATATGCCATATCTAAGTGTGATTTCTCCCATGAGTGCAAAGCTCGTTCAGTATTTAAAAAGAAATTAGTGTAATTCACCATTCCAGCAAGATAAAGGAGAAATTTTCTGTGACAAAGGAATATTTGGTAATACCTAACATTCATTTATGATAGCGCTTTCAGCAATTAGAAATCAGAGAAAACTGCCACAATCTGAGGAAGACATCTACCAACAACTCTTACCTAGGATCATATGTAACAGCAAAGAATGACTGTTTCCCAGGTTAAGAAGAAGCCAAGGACTGCTCACTCTCACCATTCTTAACTTACCACACTGCTAGAACTTCTCCCCAGCTCAATGACGAGAAAACCAAGATATAAAAAATATTAAATAAGATGCAAATCAACTAGAAAGGACTAAACGTGCCTGTACTTTTGGATAAAAAAACTACATTCAACAGTCCCATGACCTGTTGAAAAACTGCTAAGATTAGTAAATCCAACAGGTTTACACAAAGGAGGGCCCAACATTTGGACAAAAATCCAAATGTATTTCTGTACACTAATAGTAAAGGCATGGAATCTGAAATTAAAAGCATATTGCCAAAAGCATATTGCACCAGAAAAAGTTAAAAATCATTAGTAAATCTAGCAGAATAAGTAGAAGATTTATATTCTGAGAAATTTTTAAAAATAGTGAAATCAAGATCTAAAGAAATGGATTGGAAAACTCAATATGGTCACAAGAAAAGACCAGTTCCAAAAAACTATACAGACTGATAAAATGAACTATATTTAAAATTAAGGATGTTTTTCACTCTTCAGAATATTAAAAGCCAAGTCATAGAAAGGGGGGAATATTTGCAAAGCATGTAACCGGCAAATGTTCAGAATATATAAAGAATCCATACAGAGATCCTCCCGCTTCTTAGGGCGGGGGGGGGGGGAGAGGGGCGGGAAGAATCATGCAGATCAGTAAGACAGGCAATGAAAAATACTGGGAAAGAAACTTGAATATTATTGAAATCCCAAGAAAAAGATCCAAATGCCCAATAAACACATGAAAATGTGTTCAACCTCACTGACAAAGAAACACAAATTAAAACCACAGGTCAGGGGCTAGAAAGGTGGCTCAGCTGTCAAGAGCACTGGCTGCTCTTGCAGAGGAGCCAAGTTTGGTTTCCACAAGGTGGTTCACAACCCTCTGAAACTCTAGCTCCAGGAGACCTGACACCCTCTGAGTGCCTCAGGCTCCTGGCCACATGTACTGCACAGACATATACTCAGACATGCATATGCAAAAATAAATATTTAGAACCACAGATCCACAGCACTACACTTTTAGGAAGTACTGTTATGGCTCTGAAGCAACCATAATGGTCACACATGCTGCCCGAGTTGAAATTAGTACTTTAGTTTTGGAAAATATTGAGAGCATCTAAATCTTAATCAAGTAACCTGGAAAATTTGCAAGCAGGAACTTCACCCTATTTTCCAAAGAAATTGTGTACATTCACAAAAACCCATTAACTAATAACAGCCCAAATGTTCGTGGATAAGTATGTTTTAATATAACTGAGTAGCATGTCACACTGAAAATGAACTATAGTTACTTGGGCAAGAAGCCATTGACTGAAAGTAGACAATCACAAAACAAGACAGACTATTTACACAAAATTCAAAACTAAAATAGCCTATGGTGTTAGAAGTCAAAATAGTCACTGCCTTTCAAGAGGCAGGGAGTGAATAGTGTTTGGGAGGGGGGATGAAGAGGGCTTCTGGGATTCTGAAATGTTCTTCCTGAAGACTTTACCTGGGCTTATAAAACTTCACCTGAAGATTATAAGGGTGTATTTATTTGAGATGATTTAATGAGCTGTACACATTTATGACTTGTTTACTTGTTAATATTGTATCTTATTTTAATCAGATACCTGAGAAAATAGACTCCTGGGTCACATCAGAATAGCTGTCTAGGGAGGGTAGGTGGGATTGGGAGGGAATAGGAAGGGGATACAGCTGGGATACAGAGTTAATAAAATGTAACTAATAATAATAAACAGTAAAAAAAAAAAAGAATAGCTGTCTATAAGGAAAGGAAAGTAATGGAAACAGAGTGCAAAAGAGTAAATGATTATGTGGTTAGGTAGAGCAAATAAACACCTTGGCAGGTAGAAGAGCTGTTCTGGTAACATCTCTTCCATTGCTCTGGTCACATTTCAAGTGCTCAGGGGCCACAATATCTCAATTGTCTACCACAGGCAAAGATGAGAAAGTGTCCATCATTATTAAATGTTCTGTCGGACAGCACGCGTGAACATAGTGGCAATCTGGAGAGGTAATTATAGAAAGACCATGAAAAGAATCTACAACTCACCAGCATTGAAGGTGTGCATGTAAAAGAGAGACCAAAGAAACACAAAATCAGTAAGTGATGTTACAGAAACCAAGGCAGTTTCAGCAAGGAAACATTGATGTTCGATATTACAGAAAGCCTGGAACCATGTGACAAGTACTGGCTCGTTGGAGAACCTAGAGCAGTTTCTGTGCATGTGCGTGTGAAAGAGCAAAGTTGGAGACTTCCAGACTCAGCTGGGCACAGTAAATCCTTTGCCCTCAGTCCTGCTTGTAGAGAGCCCAGACAGGTCAGAGGGTCCCCCAGGGTTTGGAATGGTATGGCCTGCCTTATACATAGTGGTTCAATGTAAACAGCCTTTGCTCAGTGTTCTTTGTGCAAAAGAACACTGCTATTGGCAGCATAGGTAGAGTTTTTTGACCATAAGGAAGTGTCCCTGTAGGTTATTTCCAGGTTTGTCAATGAGATTCCTAGGAATATAAATAATCTGGGGCAGGGCACCAGAGTGTATCATAACAAACATATGCTCGACCATGGTATTTCTGAGGTCTCCACATGTAAAGAATAGTGATCAAAGGGTAAGATTCTCTTTGGTTTCAGCCAGGGGAGACATTATGACATAGAGCAGTCTATGGAAAGGGGACCAGAATTATCTCTGAAAACTCACCCTAACGTTTTCCTCTAAACATCTCATTTCTCTGAGTATCTCGAGAGAGAAGAGAAGTAACCACAAAGAGCAGTCTGACATCTTAGTCTGCAGTCACTCTTCTTCCTTGGGAATCCTGGTATTTTCTCTTCCTGGCCCATATTTCTCTCTGGACCTCATTTTCCCAGCTCACAGAGGGGTTCCCTGAGTGTGCTCTGCATCTGTCCTGCCAAATTCCTCACTCTCCATAGCTGTCAGCCCCCACCCACTTGTTTCTTGTTATCTCTGGCTTCTGTCCAGCCTTCTATTTACACACTTTACTTTCCTGGTTGACTGGAGGGCCCTATCAGTACCAAAGCTTTATCTTTCCCTCTGAGAAAGTCACAGCCCTTGAGGGAGAAGATTCCCCCACCCACCCTGGCTTCGCAGAAGTCTAGGCCTCAGTGATAAGGGAGGAGGAGTGGGAGGGGGTATTGACAGATGGTGCCAGGCTTTGCAGCTGCTGTTTCCTGAGAAGACTCCTCAGCAAACAATGGTCCCCAAAGGGATCAGGAGAGTATGGCATGGGCCAGGCCAGTCCTATGAGACAGGCTGACTCCTGTCACTATGCCTCTTACTCAGCGACTTGGCCCCCATGCCTCATCTCAGACTGATTGCAGGGAAATGGAGAGGCACAGAGTCACTCAAAACCTATCCAGCCAGTCCCTTCTGTGGGCACAAAAGAAAGAAGAAAGTAAGAAAAAAAGGAGAGGGAATAACAAAACCACAGAAAGGAAAAAAAATCCCAAACCAAATAATTCCCCAGGAAGTGAAACCCTTGTGGTCTTGTGAAACCAGGAAATAGAGACCTCAGGCCTTCATTACACACAGCCTGAGCCCCAACATGCCACCCCACCCCTTTCCCACAGGGAAAGAGCACCCAGAACATCAAGAAGGCCAGCAAAGCTAGTTTTCCATGTTTCCTCTCCATAAGGGAGGAACCCAGGAGACCTTGATGGACTTGGGGTAAAGGTGTTATGATCCACATCACAGGCCTGGGTCAAGGCCTCAGACCCCTGCTCACCCCCAGATGCCTGTCCTCCACTGGTGATGGGAAAGAAGATATGGGATGGCTAGGAAACAAGGCTCAGCTTGAGACTGCAACAAACTAGACCCGGATATGAGTCCTTTACTGTTGTTTCTGGCAGGGGTCAAAGAAACTAATCTGGCCACTGAGCCAGCAAACATGACCAGTCACCACCTCCCATCTCGCTTTCATACCTTGCCCACTAGCCTACCCCTGCCCATGGACCCAGGACTCAACATACTGCTCCCCAGCTGTCTCCACAAGGACTACGCCCTTCCATGACTGAATTGATCCATAAGCTCTCAGGGTGCGGCCACCATCTGCTCTCACACCCCTCTCAGAACACAGGCCAGAGACTCATCCTCCACCCTTGGCAGGTCTTCAGGGCTCCCCATTCCACCTGGTTTGAGATCAGAATCCTCCCCCAGGAAGTTGGCATCATGTGCTTGTCAGGTGGCCCAGGGTGTGGCTGGAGGAGCCAGGAATCTCTACTATATAGCCTAGCTGGCAACCTGGTCCTGCAGCTCCAGGACCCTCGAAGGTGAGAAGGGATGGGTTCTCTACAGAAGCGGGACAACTAATGCCCTGTTCTGCATCTGGGCCCTAGGCTGCCTCTTCTACCTCTGCTCTCAGACCCCTGGATATCCAGTACCCCATACGTTGCCCTCCTTACCTCACGTCCAGCTGCACCCGCACCCCAAAGCCATCTGGTCCTATCTATTCAACTTCCTTCCCGCTTGAACCTTCCTTACACCCAGGTGGCTCTAGTCCGGAGACCGTCCCTCTCTCCTCTGGAATGCTCTCCAACTAGACAGCGTCCTCTGACCTCCTCCTTCTCTCCCTGCTGCAGGCATGGGATCCCTGTGGAGCTGGTGGGCCCTCTGGGCTGGAGCAGCCCTCCTGTGGGGTGAGTAAGATCAAGCCCCCATTCATGTCCGAGAAACTCTGCTTGCCCAGCTCAGCACCCTCAGTTTATGTCACCTCCACAAACCACCTCCCAGCGCTCCCCGCTCCCACAGGCTAACTTAAATGAGAAAGAGGCTGGCTGAAACTGAAGAGAGGTCCTAGGTGTGGAAGAAGTATGATAGAATTCATCTACACATCTCTCTGTGTGCCTCTGCACCCCCCCCCCCCCACACACACACACTCCGAGAAGCCCACAACCCTCTACTCTAGTTCTCACAGGCACTCTGGCCACACTCCTACAACTGCTTTTCCCCTTCATTTCCTCACAATAAACCACCAAGTCATATTAAGACAGAAACGACACAGATGGGGTAGAGATTTCATTTAAAATTTCAGCCAGCCAGTCAGATTTTCTTGAAAAATGCAAATGTGTGGCATTTTTTAGAAAGGCTCCAATCTTTTGTGTGAACAACCATCAGAAGCTGTTTCAGGTGGAGTGTGTGCCCCCGTGTCCGGGGTCGCCACCTGGACTGTCTCACACACTCCTATTCCTCCTCTGCCCTGCAGCATTAGAGTTCAAGAGCCCTGTGCAAAGTGCTCAGGCTCTGGGGCAGCAAAGGTCAGAGAGGCTTATGGATGGATGCTGAATAAGGAAGGAAGGAAATAGGAGCCAGAGGGGGGAATCCTTTCAACAGCAGGATGGGTGTGTCATAGGGAGGACTAGGTAAGTGGACCCACACTGCGTTTTCTTCAGGCTTGACCCAGGAGGCCACAGTGGACTCCAGAAACACTGGTGGGGAGGAATTCCTCACGGCCTTCCTGTAGAATTACCAGCCCGGGCACAGCAAGGCCTATCTCTGCCTCTTTATCTCCAGTCTGTCAGAGAGCACCACCTCTGTCTCCATCCTCAGCCAGGCCGACGACACCTCACAGAAGGTCACAGTGAAGCCTGGGGAGTCGGTCATGGTCAACATCAGTGCCAAGGCAGAGATGACCGGTAGTGGCACTTTCCGGCGTGCCGTAGTGGTCCACTCCGACCACCCCATCTCTGTGCAGGTTTTAAATGCCAAGCCCAGAACAGCAGAGCTAACCCTGCTCTGGCCTGTTGGAGCCCTGGGCACAGAATGCTTTGTGCTCACACCCCCTGGCATCTCTGCCCAGCATGCAAAGGAATTTGCTGTGGTGGCTGGCAGAGCAAGTGCCTCAGTTACTGTCAGCTTGAAGGCAGCAGTGACTTTCCAGGGCACTTTCCATCCAGCTGGTAGTGTCTTAAGTGTGACTCTGCAGCCTTATGAAGTAGCCCAGTTCCAGAGCGCAGCAGATCTCTCCGGGTCAAGGGTCACAGCCAGCAGCCCAGTGGCTGTTCTTTCTGGCCACAGTTGTGCCTACAAGCACACAAACTGCAACCGTTTGGTGGAGCAACTGCTACCCACATCTGCTTGGGGAACCCACTATGTAGTCCCCCCACTGGCTTCCCAGTCCCGCTATGATCTGGCCTATGTTGTAGCCAGCCAGACCACAAAGCTGACCTCCAACCATGGGGGCATCATCGGTTCTCGAGGTCTCCATATGGGTGATGTGATTGAGTTCGAGGTCCGGCCAACCTGGCCACTCTACCTATCTGCAGATGTGGGCATCCAGGTGGTGCTGTTTGGCACAGGGGCCACAAAGGGCCAAGTTACGTACGACCCTTACCTAGTCCTGATCCCGGATGTGGCAGCCTACTGTCCTGCCTATGTGATCAAGACTATGCCAGGCGCTGACGGTGTGGCGCTGCTGGTTGCACAGACAAAGGCTACCAGCCTGCTAACCGTGGATGGGCAGGCATTGGGAGAAAAACTCACCTGGGTGCCTGTGCCAGGCAGTGAGTTCTCCTATGCAGAAGTGGACCTTGGCACTGCTGACAAGATGCACACAGCCAGGGCTTCCACCAGCTTTGGACTGCTCACTTTCGGGCTGGCCCAGGCTGCGGGCTATGGGACAGCAGCTGCCTGTGGCCAGAGTGAGTGGTGGGAAATGATCCCTGGCCTTGTCCTCCTGGCCAGGCCTTCCCTACCTATTCTCTTCAGCTTCCTGACTTAGTTAACCTTTCTATCCTCCAGGGCACCCTTCCTTAATTCCTCTCATCCCATCCCTCCCCCTACAGACACTGACGATAAATATTCGCCAACAAGAGTGACCCAAGGCACGACCACCCACGGCACTGCATTAGGAAGTGCTGTGCAATGTTTTGGTTTGTGGTGAGGTTGTAGAATGGAAACCAGGGAGCCAGGATGGAAGGCTTCGGGAGGGGCTGGTCGATGTTCTGATGCCTCAGCAGCTAGCACAGCTGGAGCTGCTGCAGACTGCTGCTCTGCACCCCCAGGTAGGAATGGTGCTGCTCAAAGTTGGAGGGTCCAGAGACAGTCACCCGGAGGACCCCGGGACGGGGCGGCTCTGCATCCAGCCTCCCTGCGCGCTTCCTGCGCTTCGACATAGTTAAGGACCAGGACCCGGCCCTGGGTGTGACTTCAGGCTCAGCCCGCTCAGAAGCTGCTGCCAGGGAGCTGTGAGGACACAAGGCCAGAGCCAGAGGGCCTGGGGCTAACCCCAGCAGTGCCTGCGTGGCCTTCAGCCTGTCACTCCAACTCTTTAGGCTTCGGTTTCTGCGGTCATGAAGTAGGGGCAAAGCCAGACCTCCCCCTGCAACATGCCTGTGGTGAGAGTAGAGCAAAGTCCTTAGATCAGCTTGTGCGGAGAGATGAGGGAGGTGCAGGGTGACCCCCTGTTGTGGGTGGGAGGTCAGAAAGAGAGCTCTTGAGGGCTGGAGGCCGACCGGAAGGGCTGTTTCTTCCCAGATGGTCTTCTTCAAACTGGGAACCTAGACCCAGGGGCTCCTTATCCTGGAAAAAAAAAAGCACCCCGTTTCAAGGGACACTTGGGGTTTAAATATTAGAACGGGGGGTGGGTTTAGGTTATTAATCATATTAATTATATAGGTTCAGTTACAAACCTAACTTATGCTTTAACTTGTCCAAATATGGCAATGTCTCCCTCAAATTTCTATGAAGAAACTATCACTGTCAGACCCATATGACAGGACACTGAAGCCAGAGCACTTGAAATAATCTACCCAGTGGCCCAGACTTGGTGCTTGGGCTAGGACTTCTCCTGAGGCCACCTCTGCAGCAGTTGTCTCCATAGCCCTGAAGATCCTGTCTTCCATTTCCTGCCCTTTGGCAACTTCTAGCTGATGGGAAGATAAGGAAGTGGGGAAATTGAACTATAGACAGTTTAATGTTTCAGGGGCTGCTCCTGGCCCTTCTCCACTCCTGCCATTCCTCGGGGCCACGCTGTGTTAACCTGTGGAGACAGAAACCCTGAGGCGACAGGAAGCCCAGAGCAACTCTCTCCACGAGCCTGCGAGCCTCAGTTTCCACGCCCATGAAAGCGTGGTCGTGAGCCGACTGTGCGGAGTTGACACGGTAGGAGGCCCCAGGTCTCTGACCTCAGGGACATCTCTAACTCTGCTTCCAACTCTCTTCCCTCCCCAGCCCGGCTCGCCCCAGCCCAGGCTTCCTGCCACGGCATTCAGTGCACACCTGGCCAGCGCTGCCAGATGGTGAGTGGGAAGGCCAGGTGTGTGGCAGAGTCCACAGCTGTCTGCCGCGCCCACGGCGATCCCCACTACACCACCTTCGACGGCCGTCGCTACGACATGATGGGCACCTGCTCCTACACCATGGCCGAGCTGTGTGGGCAGGATGAGACCCTGCCGGCCTTCAGTGTGGAAGCCAAGAATGAACACCGGGGCAGTCGTCAAGTCTCCTATGTGGGCTTGGTCATAGTCTATGCCTACAGCCACTCTGTGTCACTGGTTCGTGGGGAAACTGGTTTCGTCCAGGTAAGTGTTCAGAGTT